TTGAAGTCACTAGTCTTAAAAGTTCGGTTATATCTTATTTATTGATTAATCAGTTGTAAAGTATAAATATTTAATATACTTTATATTTAATTTGATATATTAATACATTATTGTGTAATTCTATGCTTGACTTTCAGGTAAATTCAGGACAACGACCACAATCGACGGAACCGCTACAATACCCGTCCATTTGTGGGACGATTTGTCAATCGATGAACACAACCCGACTCTTGCTGGAAATCGACACTTACCCGACTCTGGCCTTGAAATTCAGTTCAGGGCAAAAGTGAGGGACAGTTTGACGGGAAAACAGTACAACACATCCAATACAATGAAGTTATACGAAAGGGATGTGAAGGTAGAGCTGATAAAGATATCGGAAACATACAAACCGGGGCTGAAATACACGGTTATCATGAAAGTGGTCACACAAGACGACAAACCAGTGGCCGATAACGGACCGCAACTGACACTCAAACACGACTACGAACGCAATGCGAGCAAATGGATTGGCAGTCCATTACAGGTGTCGCCAACCAATGGACTCATTAAACTGGATATATTTCCGCCCAAAGATGGGATTGCATTGGGAGTGAACGCTGAATATATGGGACACTATTACTATTTCCCCGCTATCACGAAGGCTGAGTCCCCGTCCGGACACTACATGCAAGTGATCCGCGCGGACACAACCGACATCACTGTCGGACAGGACGTGAAATTGATAGCGACTGCGACCGAACCTATCAGACGATTGGTGTGCGAAGTGATGGGAAGAGGAGACATAGTGTGGGCTAAAAGTTTGGACATTACCACCAATATTATGGACGGCTATGAGTTCAGTATCGCGACTGTCCGTCCAATGGCGCCGTCGGCGAGGGTTTTGTGCCATTATGTGAGACCAGACAACCAGGAAATGGTGGCCGACGCTCTTAACATCGCTGTGGCATTGGTTCGGACGCCCGTCACAGTCGACGCCCACATCCGTGCGACCAAACCGGGAGCGATGGCCGGCGTTCGGGCCGACCCTACTGTCGATATACTTGGCGTCGACATCAGCGCCGAGGATATGATGAATGAGTTGAAAGCGTACGACTATAAGCCAAAACCGCCCGTCGGTCCATACGGTGGACACTACGGCCGACGCAACGGTCGTATTGGTAGGGGTGGCGGTCGGCCCGTATCCGAGACCTCATCGGCGACAGCCGCTGAGATATTTGCCAATTGCGGTGCAGTTGTGCTGTCCAATGGTCTCATACATAATAAGCCACAATATAGTGAGTATTAAAAAAAACTTGCTTTATTTTATTTTAAATTTTATATTGAAACCTTAACTTCAACAATATTTTAGTGATATTTCATTACTAATTTTCAAATGAATTGTGTTTCCATTATATATTAACTGATTATATACTCTAAATAAATGAGCGGATGGGGTTGTAATGGATGATGAGTAGTGTGACCAACTCTGTATTAGACAATAGTGTACAAACTGATAAAATTGAAGCTAAAATAGTGTACAAATAGTGTACACATTATTTATTGTCAATTAATACAAATCTCATTATATTAGTCACACATTATTTATATCCACTTCAAATCACACAATAAATATTGGACAAGATACTAGACAACCATTCATTCAACCGACATAAATAATGTTTTACTAATATAACGAGATTTGTATTAATTGGATATAAATATGTGTGACTAATATAATTAGATTTGTATCAATTAGATTTGTATCAATTAGATTTTATTATTTTAGTTTTACTAGAAATATTTTCCAAAAGTGTACAATAGTGTGCAGTCTGAAATTAGTGTACAGAAGTCTCAAATAGTGTACTGTACACTTCAAAAGTGTACGGTTGGTCATACTAATGATGAGGTGGTGGGGCCGCAATGGGTGGCCGCACCACCACCTGCTCCCACACACATGCAGTCAATGCCAGTCTGTGTCTTATGATTGCAATGAAAGCCGTGTTGAATGAAAATCGGTTACAATTAAAAACATTTTTGCGATTCATAATTAATTTGGAAAATCATTAATTTATTATAATATGATTTAATAATCAAATTGTTATAATTTTATTGTTATTCCCAATTATACAACTCAGTTAACCACGACGTGTAAATCGGTTTTGGAGGCCGGAGGGCCCCTATAGTGGCTTATCAAGCGATAAAACCTCAAACAACCCAATAATAATTGATTAAAATTGTAATTTATATTCAATTCTGTATTAAAAACAAGTGGTAATAAATTTATTAATTTTTAATTTATAACAAATAAGTTTACTAATGATATGAAACGATATAATTGAATGGTATGTTTACACTTACTGTATTTATTAGCGTTGCAAAACGTACAGGAATTTCCTGTATTATACAGGAATTTTCACTTAATACAGGAAAAATTTTCATGTTCATTGAAGAATACAGGAATAAATATTTCAAAATTAAGCTGTAATACAGGAAAATACAGAAATTTTTGGCAATTTTCCTACATTTATACAGGATTTTAAAAGTATGATTTGGCAACGCTAACTGTATTATAGAAGGGAAGTATACATTTGCTCGAAAATCTATTTTTGCAAATAAAGTTTGAGTGAATTGTTAACAAAAAGACAAGAAATATTCTATTCCTCAATATTCAGGAAATGTTGACTGAAATCATGAATCAAAACAAAATAACATTCAGTTTATTGAAAGGTCTAATTAGAGAGAAGGAGAGGAAGGGGTCGACTGGTGTTGAAGACATCAATGAATGGACTGATGTTCAGATCGATGGCTCAGAAGTTGCATCATGTGATCAAAACAAAGTTTACAAAGATGAATTGTAAATTAATTCATTGTTTAACACATTATTAGACATTTATTTGTATACAATTTTATGAGATTTCAATAAATTAAAGAATTTTTAAAAATTATATATTTTTATTTATTAAAAATACAGTAACTTTTTATATGTTAATTGAAAATTAAAGTTTTTAATTGGATTAGAAAAAATAATTATAAATAATCAAAACGTTTTATTAACAGTATTTCAATTTAATTATTATCAAAAAATGCTTATAAGTTATAACTAGAGCTCGAAATATTCGGGAATAAAAACATCCAAAATCGGTCGGGAACCGGGAGTAAAATCGTAAAAATCGGGAAAATTCGGGAATTAACTTTTATTCAATTCAAACACAATAATTATACATTAGAATTTGTATTTGCTTTCATTAACTTTAATAGGTTTAACACAAATCATACAAAATACACTCTCATTTTCGACTTTAAAATCAGTATTTGATTTTAAATGTTGATTTAATTTAAATTTGAAACTAGTTTTATATTTAGGCATTTTAATGAATCAATGAAAGCAAAAACACAAATGAAATGTAAAACTGAAATGATATGAATTGTCACATGTTGTGAGTTTAGAGTTTATATAATCCCTTTATCAGATGTTATTTGAACAGGTTTTGGTATTCAGTTGGCATTTTAATACGATTTTTGGTGAAAACTAATAAAATAAATTTATTTATTTTTAAGAAATTTGTTTTCGGGATTATTTATAGTAAAATGTTATCAAAATCGGGAATTTTCTCAAAATCTGCCAAAATCGGGAATTTTCTTAAAATATGCCAAAATCGGGAATATTCGGGAAAATAAAAGTTGTGTATTTTTACTCTATTATTACCTCTAAGACTAACTGGACGTTATTCCCGACGATTCGATTATCTAATGTTATTCGGGAATTCCCGAACTTTTCGAGCTCTAGTTATAACCTAATATTTTGCATATTTTTTACAAATTACATAAAATTAGAAATAGTAAATATTATCATATAAATTACATTTAAATGCATGATTTATTTTTTATTGTGAAATGTATATAAAATAAATTTAATTTTAATTGATGGTATTATAAATATAATTATAGTTTTATAT